TAACGCCTATTGGAGGGACGAGGGGAAGATCAGATGAGAGACCCTGGGAACGAATTGAGGAGAATATTACTGAATTCAGAAACTGTTCATAATTTTGTTTCAAACAACTCGAAGGAGATTTCCTAAAGTATCAGGAATTAATCAAACTCTTCAGAAACAGAAATTTCTTCCGCAAGGTAAGATGACTAAAAACCGTGCTTGAAACATTCTTGCTAAGAGGGAGAACGGAAAGTTTTAGCGTACACCACCAAAACGATCAAAAGCGATCATTAAAAAATTAATATTTTAGGGTTAAAGACTGATGTGAATGTCATAGCATCAAACAAAAATTAAACGCACTCACAGGCTTTAATGTGTAATAGAAAAATAGAAGACTTCACCTAGCTGAATGTGAGTTGGAACATTTTAGAAGACCTTTGATAGGAAAAGAAATACACAAACAACAACAAAATTAACAGACAGACAAATATCAGAACACTAACTCGAGCGAGTAGCTTAGAGTATCTTATAAGCAAGGAAAATGGGGATAATTGAATTCAAAATTCTGAAAAATGCTGTTTCTTTAATGGCAGATGTGTAAATCGTCCGGGTAATTAAGCGATCAAATGGTTTGAACTCTAATTTATTTTATTTTGAGGTTACTCTCGTCACTCAGACCGTGTCGTTACGCGTATCTAAAGTCTCTAGATAGCAAGATTTTTCAGTGGTTTCTGTCTTAATATCTCTTAATCAGTGAATACTTTGTGTAATTATATCACATTTATCTTGAGAACTGCATGTAAGTATTAAGCACCGATAGGAACTGGCTCTTTTGTAAATGTCGCACCAAAATTTTTAATGGCGTTTCCTTAACTGATTAACGAAATATTCATGAGGACCACAGAACGAGAAAAATGTAACAGTAGATAGAAACATGGTTGTCAGTTTTGCTTTCACCTGATTGCCATATCTCTATTTTTAGCGGACTGAACACGCACAGACAAGCTTGAAGTATTATGGCGGTAAGTCATATTCAGTAGGCTCTCTGGTCGTTGCATCCGTCGTATAGCCCACAAAGCCATTTAATTGTTTGCACTTTATTCTGCGTATTTCCCTTTAGTTTTACTTTATTTTCGGTCTTGAATCTGTCAAAACGCAGTGTCAGTTGAATGTTTTGTTTAAACGTTTGAGCAATTATCACCAAAAAGATTAAACTTAAGTCAAATTCAGTAGGCTCTCTGGTCGTTGCATCCGTCGCATAGCCCACAAAACCATTTAATGGTGGACGAAGAAACACTTTGTGGATGTGCTACCTCTAAATCATTATCTGTTTATTCATTTATTTATCATTTCCTACCCCAATAATAATAGAGATTTGTCCGGGTTCAGTCTTCTAAAAATAAGATATGCCAAAGAAATGAAAACAGAACTGAAAACTACATGTTTCTAACCACTTTTAGGTTTGTTTGGAGTAACTGCACTAAAATGTGACTATGGAATCTACAAAGACTTAGAAACGTTCGGCTGCGAAATGAATTTGTTAGTAAGAGGATTTTGACAGACACCATCCAATAATCGTACTCACGTACTAAAGGAAAGTAAACAGCGTCATATATATTATGATTTAAGCGCGAACCCTTTGAAACCAATCACACTTGATAAGGCATAACACCGTTCCAGAAAATGATCCCTTTATAAAGCAAAGTGAAAGAGAGGTACCCACAGGCATGTAACATAAAATGAAATAGAGTGCAAACCCTTTGATCGCTTTCGTAAGCTATGTTTACATATTTCTTAAAATTCAGCTCTTCATTGGTTTCTTGAATTCCACACCCTGGAATCCGGATTCCAGGTACTGGATTTTGGATTCCAATCGTTAGTGGATTCTGGATTCCTTGAAATGTATTCCGGATTCCAAAGCGTGGGATTTCGGATTTCACATGTTAATGGACGACAATGTGGGACGGAGAGACGAGAAATCTCAATCTTGTACCCAGATCTCATTCAGTCTCACACTGAAAAGTGAAGTCTCCCTTTCATTGACCCTGAGAGATCTGGGTCAAGATAAGAGAAGCACTGGGAACGAGTTTGAACGCAACTGAGCATGATTTTTATCAGGTATTTCTAAGGAAACGTACCCAAGCTTCGTGGAGAGATCAGACTCTTCATGAACAGTTGATTCTCCTATAAGGTACGTGTAAATTGGTTAAAAAACGTGTTTGATACACTTTTGCTTTTCGAGTGCCATCAAAAAACCAGGGCGTACCAACACGATCAAAATATATATATATTCGCCCTCAATATTTTGAGGCCCAAAGGCTCATGTTATTGCTTTGCCGGCATAAATAAACGCACTCAATGGGTTTTCAATGATACAGAAATAGAGAATACTTCATCAAGAGGAAAGTGCACTTAAAAAAGGATTTGGGCTGGACTGGACAAGGACTGGTTGCGTGTGAAAAATCGAACGAGTGAGATCCCTGATACAGAAAAAAATGTAATAAAGCCATTCAAAATACGAATAGCTGTATTTTGAGAAATATGTAAACATAGCTTACGAAAGCGATCAAATGGTTTGCACTCTATTTCAGTTTATGATACATGCCTGTGGGTGACTCTCTTTCATTCCATTTTCTGGAACGGTGTCATGCTGCATCAAGTGCGATTGGTCTCAGAGGGTTCGCGGTTAAATCAAAATATATATGACGCCGTTACGCTTTCTAGTTTCCTGTAGTACGTGAGTACAATTTAGCGTTGGTGTCTGTCAAAATCCTCTTACTACCCAATTCATTTTGGGAAAATATTTCGCAGCCGAACGGTTCTAAGTCCTTAGTAGATTCTATAGTCACATCTTAATTCAGTTGCTCCAAACAAACCTTAAAGTGGTTAGAAACATGTGGTTTTCGGTTCTGTTTTCATTCCCTTGCCATATCTTATTTTTAGAAGACTGAAACTGGACAAGCCTCGAGTATTATGACGGTAGGTGGAATATAACATATTCTCTAAGCCTTGCATCCTGAGTCTATTCAAATGATTAATTTGTTTGCTCTTTTTTCAATAAATTCTTTCTCTTTAACCCAATTCAGATCAAGCATTTTTTGCTTCCTGCGACCGGCGTGAGGCTTCTGAGGCTTCAAAACCGCTTACGATATCATTTTCAACAGTAAAGCATAACTTGATTAGCGCTTTTTTGTACACTTCTTAGCCGTCGTTGCACGACTACAACGTGCCTTATATCACGTTTTGCCGAGGACGGAAACAGAAGACAACTCTCCTTTTCTTTTCCTCAGAACTTTGATACAGTCCTTTAGAATTCAATTCCAAAAAATTTGCCAGTCTTTGTTTGGAGAATTAAACGAGTTGGAATAAGCGCGATTAAGTTTCAAGCAGCGCGAATTCACTTTTTAAGTGACGTTTTTCAGTCGTCGCCGTCGTTGTTGCTTAAGCTCCCTAAATTCCCCTCAGCCATGCATATAGCCATAGACGATAGTTGGTTGTCTGATAAAATCAAGAAGTTGGCTAGCATATTAATAAAATTTAACGATAGCAGTGAACCATGATGACGCCAATTATCGTTTAAAAAGGAACTGGATCCGACATCTTGGAACCGCCATGTTGAATTAATTAAATGTATTCCATTTTACTCAAAATCCGTCTATTTAAATGAAGGTAATCATGATAGATCTGTGTATAAAAGGATGCTTCCTAGGAAGCATAAAAAAATTCAACTTTTGAAATTCCAAGAAAATTGAACACTGATGAAAAATGAACCAAGCATCTGCCATTTAGTTATGTTACAGTCATGTTTTTTTCTCTCAAATTAGTCATTAAAATACCTGGATTACATCAACAGTTGTATCAAATTTTGATAGGATAATGCTAAATAAAGTGTAATATAATACTTCAAAAAGTAAAATTAAAGTTAAACCTTTTGTAAAATAGCAGATTTTGAAAAATAAAACTTGGTCGTCATGGAAGCGTTAAAATTGACGTGCACGCCACGACGACTTTAAAATGTTCCCAGACAGGTTTTAGGAAAAGTCGCTAAGCTTGTTTTGTCATAGCTTGAACGTCCGAGTGGCCATGCGATTTCCCGCCAAATAACCTCGAGTTGTTTGTGGTGTCACACCTGTTAATTGAGTTATTTTACATTGTTATGCTTGCGGTGCTGACGGACGGTCGGACGAGCGTATGCTCACCTGATTACCAAAATTTCTCGGATGGATGGATTACCAAATTTTCTTGGGTTTGGGCTCCGCTAAGATCACTCCATAGTTAACTTGTCGGCTTTTAAGTAATTTGGTACGGTTACAGTAATCATATCTCATTGAAGCAAATTTTATCGTGATGTTAAGGCGTTCCTCTTAAATGCACTCAAACACACACAACGCACATGCGTTGTAGATAAAATCTGTTCTCAGGTTAAACCAGAATTCCCTCGAGTGTCTGTAAAACCCAGAACAGGTCCGGAACACCCCGGAACACTCCCGGGACACTCCGGAACATCCCCAGAACACCCTCAGAACACCCTGCAATAGCCCGGAATGCCCCCTGAAAGAAAAAAATGAGCGCACTGTCGGCCTCATGTTTGTTAGTCAGATGACTATTTCGAGTTACCGACATAAAAGAAGGACTCTTTACCTTTACCTTTTCTTTGAAGGGTGAAGAAGAAACTGAAACCTCTGCATCAACTGCGGTATCAAGCACAGGATGCAGTGTTTCATCACCAGATGAAACACTGAAAAGAGAGTTGAAAATACGACGCGCATTTCGATGTGTTTCATCTGGTGATGAAACACTGTGTCGAATGCTTGATATTACTTCTCAAACAAAATGATTTTAGAAGGAGAAATTAAGGATGCAAAACTGAGCAGTTTTCCATCTGATTCCAATTTTCTTTGCATTTCCTTTATGAATTATTAATGAACTTGAGAAAGATATTTATCTAACTCTTTCATTTCAGTTTTTATCTTGCAGGGCAAAGTATCATTTTAACTTTTTCTTTATTTTTAAACATTTAAGTTGGTTGAAGACTTGCTACGAGGATTCTCTAAGGAAAATTTTGGTGATCGAGATGGAAACTATTTTCCTGTTGTCCATGGCCGTACTCAAGATGTAAAGTTGTTTACCCTGATGATAAGGCAACCTCGGTCCGTCCTGGAACGTCCATTTAAACACCATAAGTACATAATTCTTGCAGAAATGGAAAAGTATGTAGTTGAGAACGGGACTGAAGAATTTGAAGCCTTGAAGAACAAATTTGTTAAGAGAGAAGATCCTGAAATAACACTAGATGAGGAAGATGGTACAGGAGCTGCAAGGTAAATTACATCACTCTGCATAACGCCGAAGAATTTGAATAGGTAAAAGCATGATTTGTAGTGATATTTGGCCTAAATACCAGGAATGATATTTCAAAATTGTTAGTATAGGTAATAGCATGATTTTTAGTGATATTTGGCATAAATACCACGAGTGAAATTTCGAAATTGTTATACGTAATTTCACGAGCCGTTAGGCGAGTGAAATTTGAGACAATTTTGAAATATCACGAGTGGTATTTATGCCAAATATCACGTACAAATCATGCTATTATTTGTTTATACTACTACGTTCAAAAGGTTTATAATTTCACATGTAGGTATTTCAAATTAAGCTGAAATACCACTGCTCTATGCCAATCAAATTGCAGAAATTTCTCAAGTAGTAGTATGAATAAAAGTAATAGCAATATCTTCCACTTACAGTTTTATATCAATCATTTATAACAAGAAAGAAAAATGGGACAGAGAGGGAATCTTAGGGCGTTGCCGGGATATGTAAATTTCACCAAAGTTATTTTTAGAGGTTGTAATTAAACGGAAGTTGAATTCCTGAGACATCCGCATATTTAAATCGATGGCTTGAAACGTACTTTAGTGCCTCTAAGAAAACAATACAGAATATTTTAATGGCGACTGTTGAATTCTCTCTTGACAACACTGAATAAACGTCTGAGGTTCTCGCCGGTAAACCAACTTCCGATTAGTTTCAAGCGTTTATTTGGTCTAAAAATACTTCTTTGTGAAATCTACAAATCCCAAGGGCTACACTGGGCCTTTTTCCCTGTCTGTCCCATTATTGTTTTTTTATATAACGATTTTTCATCAGGTCAACGCCCTCGACGGCTTTCAAAATTTCAAATTATCATTACGAAAGAAGTCGACTAGTAAAGGCTAGATTTTATAACTCGGTGAGATCTAAAAACAACGTAATTGCACTAGTTACTACAGCAAGTAGTTTTTGGAAGGGTTATTTTTATTATTTATTACTATTTTTTACTTTAAATTATGCATAATTCTTTATATTCATCATTCGAAATAGTGACCTCCATTTAAACGAGTCCAAAATTCCATTTACTTAGGCAGTTTCAGAATTGTTTTCTAGATGCGATTATTTTGTGTTTCTTATTCAGAACGGTAGAAATGGAAACTCAGGCTGCTGATTACGCCAATGCAGGGATTAGAATGAAAGAAGATCTGGGATTCTTACATCTAGGGAAAATTGATCAGGAGTACATACCGGACCCGGACTTACGTCATATATTGGCAAAAACAGTCCTGGATAGTAATAAAACAGGAGTGTTTGAAGACCAACAACTGCGTTTGATAACCTCAGTAATTTTCAGTCAATGCTTTGCAGTTAAAGGCAACAGAAAGAAAGAGGTATTTTAACCTCTGATAACTACAGTATGTACGGTGGTCCTCGGTCCGGCCAGCCCCTGGTCCGGCCTGTTTTACTTTGTAATGTAATTTTCGGGAAGAAAATAATGTTACAATACAAACGGAACTTTTTCATGTTTATTGATCTGTTTACCTTCTTAAGCTCGATTCGAGGTTTTCCTGATGCTAGCGAACGCTGGAAAATCAAGTTAACGCGAACGTAGGTGAATTTTGCTCTGTTATTTGTGTCTTTTTTTATGGCGCCATAAATTACTTAGATATATTTTGAATTCACGCATTTGCGATTAAGTGCGTTAAGAAAGATAATTTTTGGTGTACACGACGTAAAAGAAATGTTCTTTCGACTTGCAAAAAAATTCGTTCGACGGGTTGAAATTTAAAACTAAAGTTGTAGATAGTACATCAAAGTAAGTTTTGCTGTCCTCGGTCCGGCCACCGGACGAGAACATAAACCAGCCAAATAGTGATTGAATAGGGAAAGCCTCAGCTGAAAGTTCAATTTTCGTTTCGTTTAGTTCTTAGTAAATTAAGATTCATGAACTGAAGTGCGGATCTTTCAACTTTGAGTCACATCTTAAGTAAAGCACTTTCATTGAGTGGAGTAAATAATAAAAACTGCGTCAAGCATTCAAGTTAAATGTATTGCTCGAGACTTTCCAGTAGCACTGCACTTTATTCATTCAGTAATGATATAGAAGGCCATAACAAGGAAGCTTATATCCGTCAGATCAGTTTCATTAGGGAGGGTAGTTTTAGGTTCTAACAAGCAAAACATTACTCTGCATGAACTGCACGTGCATGATGGCGCACACTTGCCGGATCTTTTAGGTCGGATTTCTTTGCCGTTGCTGCACGACTAAGACATAAAATTTCCTGATAGGAAGTTTTTTTTTTGAGGCCGTATACAAGCGACGGAAAATTTTTCTTTCTCTCTAAACTTTGATTGAATTCATTTAATTTAGTGGCGATTTCGCTGCCATCGCATCGTTCGCACAGAAGTGAATAATTCTTCATAAGACCAAACTATAGCTCTTTACACAGAAATCTCATTTGGTTTCGAAGTTAAAATGATGCCTACAGAAAATATACAGGAATTTAGATCAGTTGGTGCTTGGAAAGCTTCTTTTTGCGCATTGTTTGCATGCCGTCTTACAAAGTGGCTAAAGTGGCCGGACCAAGGAACTAATGGCCGAACCAGGGACCTTCAAACGGAGAGATCATTTTCTATGATGAAGCATTTTCGGCATAGCTCAGAAGCTGTCGGTTTGTCACAAGATAGTAAAATGTTACAGCAATTCACAGGACAAATTTCAGCTCACTACTGCTCTTCTAAGGTAAAAAAAAATACTCATTTACGTCCTCTTCGTCCGGACCAAGGACCATGCACATACTTAATACTTCATTCCTTTATGATTCATAGTAATAAATAAAAGAATAAAAAGGATACAGCTAAGCACCTATAGTAAGGAAAACCTTGAGAAAAGTTTGGTACTCTTTCATCAAAAACTGCTGAACCAGATCCAAATGAGCAAATCAAACGTAAGATCTACTTTAAAGCAATGTGAAGGCTATTGAAAAAAAAAAAAATTGTCCAGTTAATCGTGTTATTTTCGAAGGTGGAAGTGGACGCAGGATTCAAATTTTTGACCTTCTTGGCTCAGTTGAGGGCAACCTTCAGGAGGACTGAGATTCCTCCAAGTATAGCAATAAGGAAGAATACTAGAGGACCAATCCTGTTCCAGTGTTGCCGTGTTGTCTTTAACAAGGAGAAAAACACTTTGGAACTCCCCAAGGGAGAGGTTGTTGGTAAAACTGTAAACAGATGTAAAGAAGACGAGGAGGAGGAGGCCGAGTACGAAAACACCGCAGTTAGCTTGGAGGAGGACGAGGAGAGTAAATTGACTGGTTAGATCAAAATATAATTCTGGGTTTCTCACGTTGTCTCATATTCGCCAAAAAAAAATAGTGATCACAATTATCATTGGGTGCTTCCAGTGTCTTGCTGGAGGTGAAAATGGCGATATCAGTTTTTCCGGAAGAGAATTTTAATAGCTGTATTAAGCTGATGTTTAGTCGTTCTTTACATGATGTTAAATAACAATGTTAATATTAATAAAGGCGATCAACTAGCATGTTATAGTGATTAGCCAAGCCTAAAAGCGAAGCTTCCTGTTACATACTTACAAATACAGTACAAGTAGATCAGAAGATAAAATAATACACTGTAGTAATGAGGCCAGTTACTACACATATAATTTGTGTCCCACTAGTGCCTTTCGAAAGATTCAGTGTTATTTTGCCAACAACGGAAAGTCACTCTTTAACAAATCTACACTCAATATTTTCTATATCCTAGATTTTTTGACAACTGACGATATTGCGAAACTGGAGGAGATAAAGGATTCAGTTTTGAAACCTACCAAGAACAGAGAGAAGCGTAAAGAACGGGTCAAAAAGTACCTGAAGTGGGTAAGAACAATTACAGCAAATAATCAGTCACGTTCAAATCAATTTTCTTAAACCTCGAACCAAATGATTTTTTGGCGAATTTTTTCAAAATGTTCTTCAGCACGAGTTTCGCCAATTCTACTTTCTATAAAAAATACCTGGAAAAAAAGTTTCGTGAAAACTTTGATGACAATCGGTTACCATGGGTACGAGATGACTTACTTGATCTGAAATAAAAATATTTTTAAGCAAAAAAAAAACGGTTTTATAAATAAGTTATTCATGCGAAGAAAAGACAAACTTAAGAACGTCTAATTGCAACATATTTTAGACTAAAAGACGAAACGCACTTCTTTCGAACACTTCACTATTCTATCCCTCTCTAGATTTTCTCCGTGCTAAGGTTTCTTTGCGCCGTCTGCCCTAACACGCTTTCAATAGGCATTTATGGCGAAATTATAGTCAACTATTCCAGCCTCTAATTTCAGTTCAGGTTCGTGAAAACGATTTAAACTATTTTGAGCAGGGAGCTTAAGTCTGCAACAGACTGGTATTCAGTCAGAGTAAGACTAAGTGGATGCTATCTAGAACTAGACAAAAACTGAACACTGACTGAAACTTTCGTCAGACATTGCAAATGCAACTTCTTGGGAATACATTGAGGGAGTACCGAGCTTTTGCTGTCCAGGAGATCGTTAGATCAGTATACGCTATAAGTAGACTAACAACTGGCGTTTTCACTCATTACTTTTCAGTTTGTTGACGCGCTGTCACTGCCAAAAAGGCCAGCAGTGGAAAAGAGAGTGTTGTCACTTGACAAGCCCGTCACTGATGTGGACTGTGAATTTCTACGAACCATTTATGTTCCTGCCAATAAGAATAGTTCAACGCTGACTTTCCCGAATTTCTTCAACGACGAAAAACTTCAGGGATATGCAATTGTTTTGAACATTCTCTCTGGTAAGACATGAAACGTGACACATATGGACAGGAGAAACGGGCCACAGGAAAAACTCTCCTGAACTTATGTCATTAAAAAAGTAGAAGATATTTTTTTCAAACTGCATCTGAAGATCGCTTATCGTGTCCACTGTTGTGATCAAGGATAAGTGAATAAGGAAGATTTAAGGGAAAAAACTTCGTTTTTATTTGTTTCACTAATTAACATAACTGATACTGATTATAAATACGATGGGAGATCAGCTAATCGCAATTCAGACAAAAGGCTATGAAAGACCATCTTGTAAAGAATTAAGAAACAATATTACGATCAAATCCAGTTAGCCGCAATCTGAAGTAATGGTACAATGGTCGACGAAAGAGTTTTATAGGTGAATTTATTTTGATGATAACTGAGGTAGGATTTTTATCTAAGATTTAAGGTCCAGGAATAATAAATTATAATCATTTGTTTGAAATAAATTGATTTCGGATCACAGATCAAGTTCAAGAGATGGTTACAATCTTTGCTGGGTGAGGGGGATTTGAGTTTTGTTTAATACTGGACTGTATCAATAATTTGATGTTACTGAATTGCAGATTAAGTTTTCTTTCTCGATGCACTCAACAGATTTGTCGGAGGAAACCTGGGATGAAATCGAGAAAGCCTGGGCCGAGCAGGAAGAGCCTTCGGAGTAAAACAAAAGAAGTAGCTGATTGTTTTCAGGAGCAATTTGAGTTTGCATCACACGAGTCAATGTTGTAGTTGCGCGATGTGACACATATTTGAAATAGTCCTTTAATTGGAAGTAATATGATACCCCGGTCATAATCACGTGGTTTCCAATCATTACCCCTACAGAGACTCAAAATGTCCACAAGTTAGTACTTGTAATCAAATAGTGACGAGTGAAATTAGGGAATAATTTCACGCGTGTTTTGTCCAAATCCTAATTATTTCCCGAGCCTTTTGATTACCAATTGATATTATGGATGACGAATTGCACTCACAGTAGTTGGTTTTGGACAAATTTATCACGTTGATTATAGATTGAGAACTCCGCGCACTGAAAACTTTAGATCTTAAATTTTGCCTTAAGTTCAGAATTGATGTGCTTTTTCGTGTGTTTAGGTTTTCTAAAGCGTCTTTTAATGCCCGTGACATCTTCATTCATAACATTTTAAAACTTCGTCGCTATCTTTTCACTGACACGTACGGAAGGTTTCCATTTCACATGTGAAATTACAAATTAATGCTGAAATTTCGCGGCCAAAATTAAGGAGTAATTCGTCACCCATGATATTATAATTACAATGATATAATCTTGATTTGTGCATTATACATGGCTCGTTTATTAGTTTTAGACCAGAATACTTAGTAGTTATTAGAGACCCTTAGATTCGAGGACGAGGACGACTAAGCGGATCAGATTTAACTTTTCTCGTCTTCTGAAAGAAATAGATACCTCGGAAAGTTTCATTGTGCTTTTCTCCACCAAATTATTTGACATTATTATTTTACTGAAGGAGATTAATCCGTCTCCCTATCCTAAAATGATAAAAATTCTAACATTTGTCAACTTGTTTCCGCCACTTCGACATTCTCGCCAAAATTCGTAGTAGGATGACTACGGCTATCACGTTTTCACGCCAAAATGACTTTGGTTCATGCGCGTGCACTAAAAACTCGTACCTGTAGTCTCACTCGTCTCAGAATCTAACGGTCTTTATTGATCGGGACGTTTCGATCGCTTACTGCTGGTTTCAGTTACGCTTTAATGCAGATTTGCTGTGAGGTACTATTAGTGGCACCGTGGCTGGTTGTTAATTTCTATCCTTTGCATTGTCATTTTTTTCTTTGCCCACGGGGGTTCGTTTTGTCCCTTAACTCTGTAATGACAGCTTGTGTTAAGGCGTACTTCTAAATCTTAGTGAGTAATTTGGAGGACCGTGAGTAGAAAAATCGACACCGTCGCTTGATGAAGAGGACTAGCAGTAAGCAATCGAAACGTCGTGATCAATAAGAGACAACAGTGAGACAAACGTTAAACAAGCCCTTTTAATAATTACGGTATAGGCCCTCGGAGAGTACATTAGATAATTGCATTGTAACGGGTGGTAAATTACCGAGACAAATGTCTGCTATGTTAGAAGTTTGAGCTCTGAAGGTTTTATGTTTACAAAATATGTATATTGTATTAGTTTAAAGTTTTATAACCAAAACCCCCCTGCCAAGAATTTCTGTACTTTTCTAGGAAGTTACACCAACAGTGAAGTTAATACCTGTGCGTATGTGTTCAAAAATTTCAAATGGCTGTCTGAAGTCTTGTCATCAGCTTTTATTAATTACAATTACGGTAAAATTTAGGCCCTGTCCGCCCGTATTCGTAGTGTTTTTGCATCGTTTTCGCCCGTCCAAACGTATAACATAAATCGATTTGAAAACGATAACTTACCCGACTGCGCATGCTTGACGCATATGCCTCTTGACACCGGTAGCGAAAGTAACCCAACAATGTTCTGCCGCCTCCTGGAATAGTCAGCTTGATTAATTAACAAAGCTAAATTTTCTTGAAAACAACCAACTAGGTTAGAAATAAGCCCAAGTAAAAAAGACAAGAAAGGGAAGCGCCCGTCTGCCATCTTGAATAAGTTCCTAATATTGCGCGGAGTGGATTGGAGCTGATAGTATGACCTCAGCGTTTTCGAAAAGTTCCGTTGTCATTGATCGTTTTCATCGGATACGTCTGGACGGAAGCCGTGTTCCTAAAGAAAAAGTTGCGTTTTCAAATCAAAACGGATACTTGTGGACAGGGCCTTACATGAGATATTATCGTGTTTTACGGTCCACCTTTCTTTCTTGCAGCCCGGATTTCCAATTATTTACTAGCCTAGCTCGTTTTTTATTAACCATATTCGAATATCTAGATTGTATAAAGATTCATTTCGCTGAGGGATTATTTGTGTTCCCACAGGGGGCAACATGGTTAATGGTTGTTTTGGAGAAAAAAAATGTTCTGTGTAATTTTAAGCTTTTTATACTATCACTTTTACCAGTAAATTACCCAGCTACAGTTATCGTGCTTTGTTTGAACACGTAAGCTAACTCCGGCTAATAAAGTCCGTGAAGCAGCGCTAAGATCCTTGTTCTGGACTCCTGACTAACTGAAGAAATTACCAAAAGTGTGTTTTGAATTTCCCTTTACCCTGATTGGCGAATCGATAATTTCATATTCAACTTGCCAATAATAGTGTGCACTCAAATCGTGGTACACAGCTAGGTGCTCAAAACAAGGACGTAACAAAAGGTTTTAGTTTCGTTTATCACACAGGAGTAGCTACAGTCAACTCCTCGGACAGTGCGTTGGTGTCCTTTTATAGCAACAGTCCGTGATGGCGCGATGATGACTTTGGAAACATCTGTTATATAAATGGGTAACATAGATTTTACATTTAGGCTGACTGTAGTTCCTCTAGTGCGTTAAGTATTTTAATGGAATGGATGAACATTAGGCAGGAGACAATATAAGCGGTCGTGAGAGTTGGAGAGGAAGAGGGAGCTTAAAACTCATTAACACAGGCAAGCATTAACCTTCCAATGCTAGTGTTCTCTTTTCCTTCAGTGACAGGGCCTCTGTGATAGCAAGAATTGACTGTACTTACTGGGTTAAGTAAACTGCGAGTAAACTTCTTAAAAATCACTTTACTAGTTGTGCTCCAGACAATTTGTATATGTTGTGGTCCATTTTTATCTTTGGTTTAATTTTTTTTGTTTAAAGCCATTATCATGCATTACCATGCCCAAAAACAAATGGACATAAATTGAACCACAACATATACAGTTTTTAAAACTGCATTACGTTCCCCCATGTGGAAGTTTGTTGCCTTATGACTTGTGAACATAATTTAACACTTTATGTCTTTTTATGAAGTATTTTTATTTGTTAATTGGTAGCTGTAGAAAGCTCAAAATCCTACTTTTTAAGAATCTACAGGGATAGTTACATAAATATTAAAACATTTGAACGTCATTAAAATTGTCTTATATGAATACGCCGACTGTTTTAAAACCCTCAGCACAAATCACCCAACTCTCTCTCATTTCACTTCAATAACATCACATCACATCGATCGCCGTCGACGGTAGAGGCGGTTCTGGTAGTAACCACAGTCGTAATCTCGTAGGCGTTTACCTCAAACAACAGCTGGAAATGACAGTCGGTTATGGAGGCGAGACACGATGATGATGATGATAATCTACAAATTAAATACCATTGGAGATTTTCATAGTTATGTTGATGACTCTTAACTTTGTTTATCCTCTAACCTAAGCTGTTCTTGAAATTAAGATCATGATGTATCAGGGACGTCAAGCATTTCATTTACTCCGACAAACTTATGCTTAACGACGTCAAAAACGAATTTCCAGGCATAGAACCACGGTATCTATTAAAAAATGGCTGCTGTCAGCGCCGTCAGGTTATCGTGATGTTTCCAAAGTGAGGATTGTGCGGAATTTGGGAGCGTGATTCGATGACCAGTTAACTTAATGACGTACACATTCCTAAAAAACTACACTAGTCCTTTCTTTTATTCACTATTTTGTTAGTAGCTAAATAGTCTACCATGATAGTCTGTTATACAGTCTGCTTAAGTACCTCAACACCATTTTATTAGGATTGGTTACTTTTCTGATGCTTTAAGAGATACAAGAGGTTCTGGTGATAAAAACGGACAGGGAGGGGGCCAAAGAGAATCTTGGGCACAAAGTCAAGATAACTTAAGGTTATTTTGACTGAAACTGGTCACAACTGTTATCAATGATTAAGAGAAAGTGGGTAAGTACTTTATGCCATGAAAGAACTAAGAGTGAACACTGCAAACCCAGTGAGAGTTAATGCAATTACAAACCACAAGACCACATTTAGACTGCTACTTTCGGACCATAGACCCAAGTCAAAAATGGCCACTGGAATTAATATTTTTTAGCATCTCTTCTCCGCGGAGGCCTCTTTGTGTTGTGGGCAGGCTGGGGAGAAAGGAAAAGAGAGCGCTTTCTTTTTTTTTTCGATTATTGCTATTTTTATCCAGCGGGAACCTCTGAGGAGGAGAGAGGTCTTTAGCTGAAATGAAAATTAGTCGCACTAACCTCCCTCGAGATGACTGGTATTCCTGTGTCTAGGCTAGTAAGACTGATTTTAATATGAACAAAAAAAAATATTAAACGAATGGCAACTTTTCCATATGGTCTAGGAGCTTAGGATATCTAAAAAAGCTTTAGTATTGCTAATAACATTTCACATTCGAACAAGTTGTATGTATAAAGGAGAAAATGTAAATATAGGCTACGAAACCGATCAAACGGTTTGCTGGCTATTTCGGTTTGTGTAACATGACTCTTTTTTATAATGGTATCGTCTTCTAAAACTGTGTCATGATGCATCTAGTGTGATTGGTGCCAACGAATACGCAGTTTAATCAATCATATCCATATATTTATGCTGTTTTCGAGTTTAACTCTATAAAGCGTACGTTTTGTTTTCCCGCGTAACATTTTTTCATGTACTGAATATAAACATTGCATTGAGTAATAAAAAAATCTACTGAGCCGAGCCTTATTTTGTCCTTTTAAATTTTAAAACTTGAACTGACAGAGAGTAAACAACCATATCCTTCCATTATCATCATCATTATCATCATCATGATACAAAAAGGGTTGTGAAACACATCATTACTTAAAAAGGCCGGTAGGAATAAAAGTCATTAGCCATAAAAATTCTCGGGTTATCCGCACTTATCACACTTTATTCAGCCTATCAGCTTCCAGAGGGCGAGATGATAAACACATATTTAATGAGACTCAGGGAAGTAAATAAAAGGGTCTGAGACGAGGCTGACTGTTGAGTAATAGCTCGAAGGAATTCAGCTACTTAACCTGCGGGGAAGGTCTGAACAGATTACATCATAAAAATTCTTTTCTCTTGCAAGGTAAGGTGACTGAAAACCGCCCTTAAAACCCCTTTTGTTGATATAAGTAAAAGAAAAACTCCAAAAATGTAAGGAATACGAAATTGGCGATATTTAGGTGTTAGAGACTGATATGAGTGCTGAATTAACAGAAAACAAACAATAGCCGTGCAGTGAAAGAGTAAAAGAGAATTCTTCTGCACAGTAACCGTCCCTAATTTGGAAACGTTCTTTGCAGAGAATACAAAGGGGCAAAAGCAGAAAGTTCAATTTCCATAGAAAGAATCGTTTGGTCAGGCAATAAACTTACTGAGGAAAATACTGGGCGAAGTATCGCTATTGTTAAAGACAGGGAGTTAGAACAAAAAATGGAATTAGTAACAAATACTGTAAAATGCAAAGAACTAAATCCGTCTGGAGTGTCCGAGTTCAAGGTGATTAGATGGAAGAGCCCAATTATGCCAACAAATAGCAGCAACACTCAGGTCTGGAATAAATGTTAACCGCTTCCGGCCTTGAGAAAGGCCTTGAGAACTTAATTGAGAGCGAATGTATTTTTTAATGTCCTAAAACCTCTTTTTTTCTGAGTTAGGGCGGTATGTTTAAGAACACCAACAGCGAAGGCGTCGTGTCGTGTTTAAGAACGTAAACAACAAACTAAAATTCCAGGGTTTACACATTAAAATGCAACACGCGATACATAAATATGCACCAGGAAAGGAATTTGATTTTTTCCCCTTGCATACTAATACTAACCCCCTTCGCACTGATTAATTAACGGTTTATTTGGCCCTCTTTTCCTTTGTTACAATCAAACCCTCGCTTGTGTTTGAAGACTGTTGATTTGGAAATGTCAACGTCAAATCTTAAAGCCGTTTCTCCAAGCTATTGAAGGTTCAGGAAAACTGAGGAAGGCAGATGTAAACAATTATAGAAGCATACGGTTTTCAGTTTCATTCCTGATCAGTTTCTTTCAATATCTTATTTTTAGAGGACTGAACACGCACATACAAGCCTGAAACTATTATGGCGGTAAGTTGAATGTAATATGTTCCCTGATTCTTGAATCCAGAGTCTTGCTACAAAAAGGTTAATTTATATTCAAGTTGCTTGTCCTTTTCTTCATTTTTTTACTCTTTCATTCACGTGTGTTCGGTGATGAACAGTATATTTTATATACGCATAATACTGATATTACTATAGTAAGAACCCGGGTGGTCTAAGCTGTCAGAAATTTGCTATTTTAACAACCAAAATACTAACATAAGAGCTGTACCTGATGCCAAGCAAGATCAAGAAAGTTCTTTTTTGTGACATACAGTTAAATAGACCTTGTCACGGGTTTCGACGCCATCTTGACGAGTAGGCAAACATGGGAGAAATTACAGTGTTTGTATGAGAATCTAAAGTCAAATAATTTCAACGGCTGTTCTGAAAAAAAAAATATGACTTGTAAATTAAAGCTACAAAACAAAGGATTGTACTAAAAAAAATTTGGGGCCTACCTGCGCTTAAATTTTTCCAGAGGCTTGCTTTAGATTTTCAATATACTTGTCTGTAATTTTTCGCCGGACTTTCTTATAGACAAATGTATAGAAAATTTTAAAAAGTAGTTCTAGGTCTCCTAGCGCACGTAACGCCCTCAATTTGTTTCAGTTGAATCCTTAGGAGTGAAGCTTTAGTTTACAAGTCATATGTTTTTCAGAACAGCCGTTCTACGGAAATTATTCGACATTAGATTCCCATACAAACACTGTAATTTCGCACGCGTTTGCCGACTCGTCAAGATGACGTCGACAACCGTGACAAGGTCTATCATGATAAACATTTTAATCACGGAGTTTGACCTTGAGATTGGAAATTTTATAGCAGTCTTATATAAGAAAATACAAACCGAATTTAAGAATTAATCCTCTTAGGCTGAATTGCAAATCACTTCTTGCCTTGTTGATGAACGCTTGATTGACAGGCGTTCGAAAGCGGTGAAGAGAATTCGGGTACACTGTAAACGTTAGGCGGATGACTATTTCGAGTTACCGACGTAAAAGAAGGAGTCTTTACCATTACCTTTTTTTGAAAGGTGAAGACGAAAATCAATTGAGGTCGGCTGCGTCTTGACGTAATATATCAAGCATGAGATGCAGTGTTTCATCCCAAGAGGAAAACTGAATATACGACGCGCAGTTTGAGGTGTTTCATTTGGTGATGAAACACTGTGTCGAATGCTTGATATTACTTCTCAGACAAAATTAATGATTTTAGAGGGAGAAATTAAGGATGCAAAACTGAGCAGTTTTTCATCTGATTTCCAAACACTCAATAAACATTAATTTGCTTTCAATTGTATTTTCTTCGTGAATTATTAATGAATTTGAGAAGATATTTATCTAACTCCTTCATTTCAGTTTTTATTATGTAGGGCCAAACATCATTTTTGTCTTTATCTTTATACATTTAAGCTGGTTGAAGACTTGCTACGAGAATTCTCTAAGGAAAATTTTGGTGATCAAGATAGAAACTATTTTCCTATTGTCCATGGCCGTACTCAAGACGTAAAGTTGTTTACCCTGATGACAAAGCAACCTCGGGGGTCTGTCCTGGAACGTCCATTTAAACACCATAAGTACACAATTCTTGCAGGAATGGAAAAGTTTGTAGTTGAGAACGGCAAAGAAGAATTTGAAGCCTTGAAGAACAAATTTGTTAAGAAAGAAGATCCTGGAATAAGACTAGATGATGAGGATGGTACAGGAGCTGCAAGGTAAATTACATCGCTGTTACATAACGCCGAAGAATTTGTATAGATAATAGCAAGATTTGTAGTGATATGTATAGGAAAAAGCATGATTTGCAGTGAGTATGCATGCTAGGTAATAGAAAGATTTGTAGTGATATGTGTACTAGGTAATAGCATGATTTGCGGTGATATTTGGCATAAATACCACGAGCGATATGTCGAAATTGTTATGCGTAATTTCACGAGCCGTTAGGCGAGTGATATTTGAGACAATTTTAAACATCACGAGTAGTATTTTTGCCAAATATCATGTACAAATTATGCTATTATTTGTGCATACTACCACGTTCAAAGGGTTTATAATTTCACATGTAGGTATTTCAAATTAAGCTGAAATACCACTGCTCTAAGCCAGTCAAATTGCAGAAATTTCTGATGTAGAAGTATAATTGGCCTAAATACAACGAATGATGTTTGTTATACGTGAAATTTGAGACAATTTTGAAATATCACGAGTGGTATATATATTGGTATTGGTGCCAAATAACACCTACAAATCATGCTATCATTTGTTTATACTACTGCTCACAAAAGGTTTTGTAATTTTTATGATCACATGTAGGTATTTCGAATTAAGCTGAAATACCACTGCTCTAAGCCAATCAAATTGCAGAATTTTCTCATGTAGTAGTATGAATAAAAGTAATAGCACTATCTTCCAGTTACAGTTTTATATCAATCATTTATAACAAGAAAGGAAAATGGGACAGAGAGAGAATCTTAGGGTGTTGGGCAGGATATGTGAATTTTACCAAAGTTATTTTTAGAGGTTGTAATTAAACGGAAGTTGAATTCCTGGGACTTCCGCACATTGATAACACTGAATAAACGTTTGAGGTTCTGGCCGGTAAACCAACATCCGATATGCGATTGGTTTCAAGCGTTTGTTTGGTCTTTCTTTGTGTGAACACCTTTTTCCCTGTATGTCCCATTATTGTTTTTTTATTTCAATATAACGATTTTTTATCAGGTCAACGCCCTCAATGCCTTTCAAAATTTCAAATTGTTATTAAGTATAAGAAGCCGACTAGTAAAGGCTAGATTTTATAACTCGGTGACATCTAAAAACAATGTAACTGCGCTAGTTACTACAGCTAGTAGATTCGGGAAGGTTCATTTTTATTATTTATTGCTATTTTCTTACTTTGAATTATGCTTAATTCTTTATAATCATCATAAAAAAGAGTTACCTCCATGTAAACGTGTCAAAAAATTCCCTGTACTTAGGCAGTTTCAGAATTGGCGTCTAAATGCCATTATTTTGTGTTTTTGTAATTCAGAATGGTAGAAATGGAAACCCAGGCTGCTGACTGCGTCAATGCAGGGATTAGAATGAAAAAAGATCTGGGATTCTTACATCTAGGGAAAATTGATCAGGAGTACATACAGGACCCGGACTTACGTGAAATATTGAAAAAAACAGTCCTGGATAGTAATAAAACAGGAGTGTTTGAAGGCCAACAACTGCGTTTGATAACCTCAGTAATTTACAGCCAATGCTTTGCACTTAAAGGCAAAAGAAAGAAAGAGGTATTTTAACTTCTGATAACTACAGTATGTGGTCCTTGGTCCGGCCGGTTTTACTTTGTGATGTAATTTTCGGGAAGAAAATAAGGTTACAATACAAACGAAACTTTCCCAGTGTTTATTGATCTGTTTACCTTAAGCTCGATTCGAGGTTTTCCTGGTGATAGCGAAGGCTGGAAAATCAAGTTAACGCGAACTTAGGTGAATTTTGTTTTGTTGTTTGTGTCTTTTTTATGGCGCGTTAAATTGCTTGGATATATTTTGAATTCACGTATATTCGATTAAGTGCGTTAAGAAAGTTAATTTTTGGTGTACACGGCGGGGAGCAAGGGATGGCGCAGTGGTGAGAGCGCTCGGCTCCCACCAATGTGGCCCGGGTTCAAATCCCGCTGTCGACGCCATATGTTGGTTGAGGTTGTTGTCGGCTCTCTCCTTTGCTTAGAAATGTTTTTCTCCAGGTACTCCGGTTTTTTCCTCTCCTCAAAGACCAAGATTTCCAAATTCTAATTCGACCAGGAATCAGGTAGATGAAGAACCACTTTTTGGATGTGCTACTTCCGAATCATTATTTATTTATTGAAAAGAATTGTTCTTTCGACTTACAAAAAAATTCGGTCGACAGGTTGAAATTTAAAACCAAAGTTGTCTATAATATTCCTATAGTAAGTCCTTGAGTCCGGCCACCGGACGATAACGTTTCGTTTAGTTCTTAGTAAATTAAGATTCCACGAACTGAAGTGAGGATCTTTCAACTTTGAGTCACATTTTAAGTAAAGCGCTGTCAATGAGTGGAGTAAATAATAAAAACGGCATGAAGCGTTCAACTTAAATGTATTGCTCGAGACTTTCCCAGTAGCACTGCACCTTATTTATTAAGTAATGATATAGAAGGCCATAAAAAGGAAGCTTATATCCGTCCGATCGGTTTCATTAGGGAGCTTTAGCAAAGTCAAAAAATTCAAGCGATGGGTAGTTTTAGATTTTTAATTAGCAAAACATTACTCTGCACGGACTGCACGTTTATGATGATGCACGCTTTTCGGTCGCCGGATTTCTTTGCCGTTGCTGTACGGCTAAAGATGATGTTACACGAGACAGTTCGCAACGACGATTTTTAGCGCAACACAGCGTTGCAACATTGTTGCGACATTGTTTTGAATATTTCCAACATTTTTCCAACATTGCAACGCTGTGTTGCGCTAAAAATCGTCTTTGCGTATCGTCCCGTGTTAGATCACCCTAAGACATAAAATTTCCCAGGCCCGCTTCCACGAAAGATGATTAAGTTTAACCCAGGATCAAGCCAAATTGTCAGCATAGGTTTTCTAGTCTAAGAACATGTAACTCGAACTTACAAAGTACATTCGCACAGAAGTGAATAATTCTTCATGAGACCAAACTATAGCTCTTTAAACAGAAATCTCATTTGGTTTCGAGTTTAAAATGATGCCTACAGAAAATATACGGAATTTAGATCAGTTGGTGCTTGGAACGCTTCTTTTTGCTTCTTGTTTGCAAGCCGGCTTACAAAGTGGCCAAGTGGCCGGACCAAGGAACTACTGGCCGAACCAGGGGCCTTCAAACGGAGCGGTCATTTTCTATGATGCAGCATTTTCGGCAAAGCTCAGAAGCTGTCGGTTTGTCACAAGTTAGTAAAATGTTACGGCAACTTACAAGACAAATACTCCTCAGTCTTCTAAGATAAATATACTCATTTATGTCCTTTTCGTCCGGACAGAGGACCACATACTTTATTCTTTTATGATTCAAAGTAATAAATAAAAGAATTAATTGAATATTGCTAAGCACCTATAGCAAGGAAAACCTTGAGAAAAGTTAATGGTACCCTTTCATCAAAAACTGCTGAATCAGATCTGAAATGAAATGTAAGATTTACTTTTAAGAAACTTGAAGGCTATTGAAAAAAAATGTTCAGTTAATCGTGTTATATTCGAAGGTGGAAGTGGACGCAGGATTCAAATTTTCGACCTTCTTGGCTCAGTTGAAGGAAACCATCAGGAGTATTGACATTCCTCCAAATATAGCAACAAGGAAGAATACTCGAGGACCATTCCTGTTCCAGTGTTGCCGTGTTGTCTTTAACAAGGAGACAAACTGCCTGGAATTCCCCGAGAGAGAGCGAGAGTTTGTTTATGCACGTGGATGTATTAGAATCCCGAAATGGGAAGAGGAGGAGAAGGCCGAGTACGAAAACACCGCAGTTAGCTTGGAGGAGGACGAGGAGAGTAATTTGACTGGTTAGATCAAAATATGATTCTGGGTTTCTCACGTTCTCTCACATTCGAAAAAAAAATGTAGTGATTACAATTATCATTGAGTGCTTCCAATGTCTTGCTGGAGGGGAAAATGGGGATATCAGTTTTTCTGGAAGAGAATTTTAATAGCTGCATTAAGCTGATGTTTAGTCGTTCTTTACATGATATGAAATAAGAATATTAATATTAATAAAGGCGATAAACTAGCATGTTTTAGTGATTAGCCAAGCCTAAAAGCGAAGCTTCCATTACATACTTACAAGTACAAGTGCAAGTAGGTCAGAAGATAAAATAATACACTGTCGAAATGAGGCCAGTTATTACAAATAAGATTTGTGTCCCACTAGTGAATCCTTTCGAAATATTAAGTGTTTTGCCAACAACGGAAAGTCACTCTTTAACAAATCTACACTCAATATTTTGTATATCGTAGATTTTTTGACAACTGACGATATTGCGAAACTGGAGGAGATAAAGGATTCAGTGTTGAAACCTACCAAGAACAGAGAGAAGCGTAAAGAACGGGTCAAAAAGTACCTGAAGTGGGTAAGAACAATTACAGCAAATAATCAGTCACGTTCAAATCAATTTTCTTAAACCTCGAACCAAATGATTTTTTGGCGATTTTTTTTTTTCAAAATGTTCTTAAGCACGAGTTTCGCCAATTCTGCTTTCTATAAACCATTCCTGGGAAAAATGTTTCGCGAAAACTTTGTTTACAATCGCTTGCCGTGGGTACGAGATGACTTACTTCATCTGAAATAAAAATATTTTTAAGCAAAAAAAGCAGTTTTATAAATAAGTTATTCATGCGAAGGAAAGAACGTCTAATTGCAACAGACTAAAAGACGAAACGCACTTCTTTCGAACACTTCACTATTCTACCCCTCTCTAGATTTTCCTCGGTCCTAAGGTTTCTTTGCGCCGTCCCCCCTAACACGCTTTCAACAGGCATTTGTGGCGAAATTATAGTCAACTATTCCAGCCTCTAATTTCAGTTCAGGTCTCAGCAGGCAGGTTCGTTAAAACGATTTAAACTATTTTGAGCAGGCGGCTTAAGTCTGCAACAGACTGGTATTCAGTCAGAGTGAGACTAAGTGGATGCTATCTAGAACTAGATAAAAACTGAAACACTGACTGAAACGTTTGTCGGACATTGCAAATGCAACTTCTTGGGAATACATGGAGGGAGTACCGAGCTTTAGTTGCTGTCTAGGGGATCGTTAGATTAGTATACGCTATAAGTAGACTAACAACTGGTGTTTTCACTCATTACTTTTCAGTTTGTTGAGGCGCTGTCGCTGTCAACAAGGCTAGCAGGGGAAAAGAGAGTGTTGTCACTTGACAAGCCCGTCACTGATGTGGACTATGAATTTCTACGAACCATTTTTGTTCCTGCCAATAAGAATAGTTCAACGCTGACTTTCCCGCAATTCTTCAGTGACGAAAGACTTCAGGGATATGCAATTGTTTTGAACATTCTCTCTGGTAAGACATGAAACGTGACACATATCAACAGGAGAAACGGGCCACAGGAAAAACTCTCCTGAACTTATGTCATTAAAAAAGTAGAAGATATTTTTTTCAAACTGCATCTGAAGATCGCTTATCGTTTCCACTGTTGTGATCAAGGATAAGTGAAGAAGGAAGATTTAAGGGAAAAAACTTCGTTATTATTTGTTTCACTAATTAACATAACTGATCCGGATTATAAATACGATGGGAGATCAGCTAATCGCAATTCAGACAAAAGGCTATGAAAGGCCATCTTATAAAGAATTAAGAAACAATATTACGATCACATCCAGTTAGCCGCAATCTGAAGTAATGGTACAATGGTCGACGAAAGAGTTTTATAAGTGAATTTATTTTGATGGTAACTGAGGTAGGATTTTTATCTAAGATTTTAAGGTCCAGGAATAATAAATAATAATCATTTCTTTAGCAATAATTTGAAGTTACTGAATTGCAGATTAAGTTTTCTTTCTCGATGCACTCAACAGATTTGTCGGAGGAAACCTGGGATGAAATTGAGAAAGCCTGGGCCGAGCAGGAAGAGCCTTCGGAGTAAAACAAAAGAAGTAGCTGATTGTTTTCAGGAGCAATTTGAGTTTGCATCACACGAGTCAATGTTGTAGTTGCGAGATGTGACAAATATTTGAAATAGTCCTTTAACTGGAAGTAATATGATACCCCGGTCATAATCACGTGGTTTCCAATCATTGCCCCGTTAAAGGGATTGTTTCAGTTGTATCGTGAATTTTGGTAAAACATTTAATTAAAGCGAAAGCTATCACAGATGAAAACGCTCTATCCTTGGAGCATCAGTGGTGACGTTTTTAATTTCAAAGTATCATGATCAGTACTCCTACAGAGACTCAAAATTTTCACAGGTTAGTACTTGTAATCAAATGGTGACGAGTGAAATTAGGGAATAATTTCTCGCGTGTTTTGTCCAAATCCTAATAATTTCCAGAGCCTTTTGATTACCAATTGATATTATGGATGACGAATTGCACTCACAGTCGTTGGTTTTGGATAAATTTATCGCATTGATTATCGATTGTGAACTCCGCGCACTGAAAACTTTAGATCTTAAATTGTTGCCTTTAGTTCAGAATTGATGTGCTTTTCGTGTGTCTAGGTTTTCTAAAGCGTCTTTTAGTGCCCGTGACATCTTCATTCATAACATTTCAAAACTTCGTCGCCATCTTTTCACTGAGACATACGCAAGGCTTCCATTTCACATGTGAAAGTACAAATTAATGCTGAAATTTCGCGCCAAAATTAAAGAGTTATTCGAGTTAAAGAGTTATTCGTCACCCATTAGAGACCCTTAGATTCGAGGACGAGGACGACTACGAGGACCAGATTTAACTTCAAGTTTTTTTCTCGTCTTCTCAAAGAAATAGACACCTCGGAAAGTTTCATTGTGCTTTTCTCCACCAAATTATTTGGCATTATTATTTTACTGAAGGAGATTAATCCGTCTCCCTATCCTAAAATGATAAAAATTCTAACATTTATCAACTTGTTTCCGCCACCTCGACATTCTCGCCAAAATTCGTAGCAGGATGACTACGGCTATCACGTTTTGTTGCCAAAATGACTTTGGTTCAAGCGCGTGCGCTAAAAACTCTTACCTGTAGTCTTACTCGTATTAGAATCTAACGGTCTTCATTGATCGGGACATTTCGAACGTTTTTTTATTTATTTCTATTTTTATTTTTTATTTTTTTATCTAATTTATTATTTGAGCTAAATTTACATCGCACAAAACGTATACATATTACAACTTGACGAAACAAACATAAAAATAGCTGAGGTTACATTTATGCTTGAATTCGCTTAGCTACTTACAATAAAAGGAAAGGACGGTGGTCGGTGGATGGCTCAACTTTGCAGGACACATGGCTAAGTCAAAGCGATTAGCTAGAGGGTAACCAGTACAAGCAACAAATTTAAATAAGAAATAATTTCCATTTGTTTGAAAAGACGGTGAAAGAATTACAGCGGATTGCTTCTTGTTTTTCCATCTCAATGACGGAATTTAGTTTGCCCTTAACCCTATTCAGACTGGGCTTTTTTGGTCAATCTGTGACTGGGGGGGGGCTCCTCGGACCCCCCCTCTGTATCTCTGGAACCAATAATGCTAGGGTCATGAAATTTACACACAATGATCATCTCCGTACAAAGAAGCCACACACCCAGTTTTGACTTGCCACGCCCAATGATGACGTCACAGTGACGTCATATTCCGATTTTTCAATGTTTCTTATTATTTTTCCACTTAGATACGTAAAATATCAATAATATTGGTAAAGTCATCTCTTTGTTATCCTTTCTTATGAACTAGTAACAAGGAATCACTTGTACAGCGAGAAAAAGCAATAGGAAGCAATAAAATTTAAATTTTGAAATGGTTGTCCGCCATCTTGGATCCGCCATCTTGGATCCGCCATCTTGGATTTCCGTTTTTTTGTTAAAATTATAATTTAAAGCAACTTTCAAAGGGGAAAAAGCTCAGAATGTATAAAAGAAGTATCAAACTAATGTTTATTACCCAAACAAATGACTTTGGAAGTGTTATTTGGAAAATAGAGCAGCATATTTGTCAAAGCAAAAAAGTGACAAATTTTACCCCACCCCTCCCCCCCAAATATTCGATGTTGAAACATTTTGATGTAATTCAAAAACTACTCTCAAGAAAAGACCATTTTAACAACAAAAAGCACTATAAGTGTAAAAACGCGATCTTAAAACAAAAAAAATCACCATTTTTTAAATTTTCCAAAACCTATGTGTCAGAAACTGGTTGCCATGGCAACATGATTAATCACATGGACATGGTAATTATACCAAAATGTTCCTAGATAAATTTTAGGAAAAGTCAGAAAATTTGAACGTCATAGCTCTTTCGGTGTAGGAGTTATCACGATTTTGCCGGAGGGGGGGTTCGAAAAGCCCCCCCCCAGTCTGAATAGGGTTAAAAAGAGTCATGGAGGGAGACGTACCTGCAAGTTGGCTCGAGTATATATGATATCTCCCAATAAGAAGAACGAGATCAATGGCGGTAGAGGTTGCAAATTTAGAGAGTCCCGTCAGATACAAATCGGTTAGTGCAGTACTCTTGAGGCCCTTTTGAATTAAAAATTGGTTAACATCGTTCCAAAAAGCAAGTGTTGTCGAACATCTCAGAAATGGATGAGATATAGACTCTATTTCCCTTTGGCAAAAAGAGCATTTGTCCGATTGCTTTAAATTAATTTTCTTTAAAAAATCATTGGTAACAATCCTCCGATTCAAAAACGTATAGTGAAAAGTTCTTAATTTGGTAGAAGCCGTACAGTGGAAAGCGATTGTGCATGCATCTTTCCAGTCAATATCACTTGCATTTTCGACTTGAAGGTCACTGAGCAACTTCTCTTGGCTTCTAATGGGTGTAGAGATTCTTTTTCTCAGTAGCGACTTATAAATAAAGTTGTTAACTTTACTTTTAGATGTTAATTCAGTTATAGATGTTCCCTCGGTGGAAACAACCTCGTTCGTCGGTTCATTTTGCACCTTATTTATAAGTGATTTGACAGCTGAAGCTATACTACAATATTCTAACCAATTTAACTCCTGAAAATTTGATTTCATGGCATCATATCCGAGGAGGTTCCCACCCTCATCTAATAGATGAGAAATTTTGCAGACACGATGATCCATCCAGTGTTTACGGAATACAGGCTGATTGTCAACTCTTACCAATGAATTAAGCCAAATAATCTGATCGCCCACATTTGCAATGGAAATGGCTACAGCATCAGAGAAATGCAATTCTGCCCAGATTGACATGACCTCACACACAAAAGGATTACGTATTTTTAACAGTGGAATGTCATCTTTGTGTAGATTACAAGGGAAAATAAATTTACCACCATACATTTTAAGATTAACATCAAAGAAAAACTTCCATCTTCCATTATTTGTCGGGTCAAGGTACTTCTTGATCCAGGATGCTTTGAGAGACTTATTGAACGTATGTATATCAATCATCCTCAAACCACCCTGCTCATAATCCCTTATAATATGCTCTCTTTAAATCTTGTCGCCTTTACCGTGCCAAAGGAACTCAAAAAGAAGTTTGTTGACCGTTTGCAGTGCGTTTGTATAAGTAGGGAGCGGAGTCAAAATATAAATAAGTTGAGAGACCAGAAGACGTTTGATAAGAGTGATTTTTCCCAATAAGGTGAGTCTCCTAAATTGTCATGTTTCAAAAACGCTTTTTATGCTCTTCCTATAACTTCCTTAGAGGGTTTAAAGGCCGATATAACTGCTTTGCCTGAGCTCTGTTTGCTGGGCTGGATACATAACCAGATAACAAGCCAAGATTGAACGTAAAGGACTATGGGTAAAATCCCAAAGCCAGTTTATTAAGGAAATAAGTTCAATCAAAATGACAATTTCCCAAAACATAAAATTGTTAAGAATGTTTTATTTGTTGAAACTTTGGCCCAGTAAAGGTGAGGGCCACAACAAACGCCAAATGCATCTAGGGGGAACCAGATGCAGCCCCACCCCAGGCAAAAGCAGTACAAAGGCCAGGAACAAAATTAAATGCAATACCAACACTAAGGTCTAAATAAACAAACAATACTTAAAGATATAACAAACACTCCTACCCTTGATAGAGAGTGTATATATGCTCGAAAGAATCAAATAGTATCACAAAGATCTGGATAACACTCCTGCCCTTGCTAGAGAGAGCAGATATTGTATCAATAAACAAAGAATATCTCAAAGATATAATAAACACTCCTGCCCTTGCTAGAGAGTGTATATATGCTCTAAGTAATCAAATAATATCTCAAAGATCCGAATAGCACTCCAGCCCTTGCTAGAGAGTGCGAAGATGGTCTAAATAAACAAAGAATACTCAAAGATATAACAAAGACTCCTGCCCTTGCTAGAGAGTGTATGTATGCACACAATAATCGCATAATATCTTAAAGATCTGAATAACACACCTGCCCTTGCTAGAGAGTGCAGATACGGTAATAATAAACAAATAATAACTCAAAGCTCGGAATAACACTCCTGCCCTTGCGGGAGACTGCAGATATGGTCTAACTAAGCAAATACTATCACAGAGGTATGAATAACACTCCTGCCCTTGCTAGGGAGTGTGGTCAGAATAATAAAATAACAGCTAAACCTAAGACACTCCTGCCCTTGTTAGAGAGTGTCACTTGACTTCAAGTAACAAACTATATATCTCGCGCGTTTTTTCTCTCTTCCTTTCCTCATCCTAACCGCAGTTCTCTTTTTCCCTTTGATCTCTGTTGTTAGGTTAAACTGATATGGTCTAAATAAACGAAGAAATATACTCAAAGATATAACAAACACTCCTGCCCTTGCTAGAGAGTGTATGTATGCCCAAATAATCGCATAATATCTTAAAGATCTGAATAACACTCCTGCCCTTGCCAGAGAGTACAGATAAGGTAGTAATAAACAAATAATAACTCAAAGCTCGGAATAACACTCCTGCCCTTGCTGGAGACTGCAGATATGGTCTAACTAAGCAAATACTATCACAGAGGTATGAATAACACTCCTGCCCTTGCTAGAGAGTGTAGTCAAAATAGTAAAATAACAGCTTAACCTAAGACACTCCTGCCCTTGCTAGAGAGTGTCACTTGACTGCAAGTAACAAACTAAACCCTCGAGGGTACACATATATCAGATCACATTGTTAGGCTGAGAAACTGTTAATGCGTATGTACTTATGGAAGGCATTCGATTTCCTAATTTGAGCATCAGTATATCCTAAAGCTGCTGCATGGGAAGCAGCTCCGATCCGAGAAGCTATGCCCTTTATAGAAGGCAGGGTCTAGACCGCATTCCTTGATAGCAGATGAAAGAAAACGTGAAAACGCACTTCTAGGGACAGGTTCACCAGTGTGAAGCCTAAAAAGGGGGCCCCCAGCATAGTTACATTGCTCAAGGTATTCTAGAAGGCATAAAACTGGACAGACCCCATTGGACTGTCTATGCACAACGACAGAGAAAGGTCGCTCCTGATAATGATGTTTGTAATCCCCAAAGGTAATTCTGATTGCCTTAACATAAAAGGAATTATCTCGAAGCTGTTACTTGGTGGAATTGTAAGGGGGCATTAGTAGACTGTTTCCCACTAACAGTCATCTCACCAACCCTCAAAAAGGCAAAAAATGCAATAGCACACATTGCCCGAAAAAGTTATGCTTCATAACGTGAAAGCGTGGTTTGGAAGGC